CATTTGATTAAAAAAACGAAAATCATTAAAAACTGCTTGCCATTTTTGCTGATATAATGAGAGAGAATTAGTTTATTTTGCTATCGAAAGTTTTTATATCGATTCCATATCGCATTAGCCTGAAAAATGTATTATGAGTATGAATCGCAAGTTTTGCATCCTTATTATAGAAGTATTACAGCGGTATCATTCTCTCTGTTGTTGGACACATTACTGTCAATTTAACTCAAATGACATCGGGAACTTCCGCTAGTTAATATACAAGTGCTAGGCTAGAATATGAAAGATCATATCAGAAACATTTTAATTTACTGGTACAGATATATGTGCATCTATGTGATTAGTAAGTGAACCATATTTTCTTGAATATGTATGTTTATTCTGCAAATCTGCAACCTTTTTTTTCTTTCATTGTATAAGATAGCAGTTTATAACAGTTTGACCTCCAAGAGTTCATTTGGAATGTAAAGGATGTTATTGCATGGTTTTTTGGGCGGGAGGAGAGGGGACCATGGCTCAAAATAATGGTTACATTTTTCACATTTTAAATACTGTAAATTATTTCATACTTTAATTAAAATCAGCTCTTTACTATTACGTTTAATTACTTATGATGTGTGTTTCGAGAGTGAAATGTGCGTAGTAGTATTCTATTAATTTTTCTGATCCCAGACTAAATTTTTTACGAAATTCGTATTGGCCATAATATGAAGCATGAATGTTTGAACGTATGGTGATTGATTAGTCTTTGCATGGCATCCGTTTGATGTTCCGGGTTTAAAAAAAAAATGCTTCTTTCAAATGTTTTGCAATCGCTGCCGTTCGCATCATAAGTTTGATCCAGGACACTCATTCTGTTTGAGGATAATTCGCTTAAGCGAAAGGACAAAGAAGAAAAATTCTGGTGCTGCCCGCATAACAAATGACTGGGCAGGTAATTACAGAGGTTTTTTCTGCGAGATGTTTATGTGGCTCACTTCCCTCCTGTTTCGGAATAAGTATCCAAAGTCCGTGTGAGAAGGAGATCCTTTGACATCTGAAATATAGATTCAGCCTCGCCGAGTGTGAGAGAACCTGTGATTATCCAGGTATGCAAGTTGGAGAAAGTTCACTCCCACCCCTTTCTTTTGCTTTTCCATTTTTTCGACTTATCGGCGACATCTATCGGTGCACGACTTTTCCTTTCTTGGGACGGCCTATCTCGCCTTACGCCACCCCCCTCTCAATCTTCTTTGAGTCTAATATTTTGTTTGTTCTTTTCGGCAAGGTCCGGTTGTTGGCGATGCGACTTCGCCAGGACCAAATGACGGGTTCCTGCCTCCTCGAAGGCCCCATAGATCACTTGCTTCTTTAACGCCAGCGATTTCCACCGTCCCTCGAATCCAGACACTGCCCAACCTAGGGACCGTGCCCTATGTCGGGTGGTCATTATTTCCAGGTCGGATCGCTATCTTGACTGGATCGCTACAAAGTTTTACGCCTCCTTCGGACTTAAAGTATTCAAATTTTTCTAAAGCGGCGTTGGTAGGTCTCGACATTCTAGCTACTCCAGTCTAAAAAGAACATTTGATGTATTGTTGCTAAGAATTCTTAGGTCTTATCAAGCGCTCTTAGATAATTTTTTTTTTAATTTGGCGAATCTATTACATTAATCAGAAATGAATGCCGCTTTAGCATTTGGAGAAGTAATTATAGTATTTATCATATTTTAAATATTTAAACTGAAATAATGATTTCAAGATATGCGATGATAAAACATTCACATGCAGTATATAACAGTCATGAATGTATAACATCTTTCAATTCTTTAAACCAAATGAAACGTATTTTTTATTTGCTCCTCCTTAGCGAATGCTTTTTTATTAAGAATTTTAAAATGCATCTGAGACATTTTAGATTGTGTCCTCGTCATAGTTTTACTTCAAACAAGGAAATGAAAGAATCAGTATGTTTGAAAGGGAAAGAAAAAGAGAGTATATTATAGCCATTCATTCTTTTTTTCCCCAAATCGTAATTAATTATTTAATTAAGAAACATTACTTAGAATTAGAAACACGAAATACAGAATTACATCATCTGTATAAAATATTTGAAATGCTTGGTTTTTCTAAAATTACAAAAGGAAACATAGGAAACTTAAGTGTAAAAAATAGTACTTAAATTTAAACTAATATATATATATATATATATATGATAGATAGACTGATGTGTTATGTTTTGTCTAGTTAATTAATACCAAATGGGATTAATATGTATTTGTTTACTCATATAAATTCAAAAACAGTAACTAAAAGTGATGGGGGCATTACATAGTTTTAGCTCTTTGAATAAGGGATGACTGTAATAAAATGAAAGAAATCGTTCTTAATCATGAATATTTTCATTTAATCAGTAAACTGTACTAGCATGCCCTGTATTATTATATCTGCTTGACGCTTGCAGTAACTGTTGGCAAAACTTGCATTTGTTTAGTGTTGATTTTCGATGTAGACTCCTTGTAAGTTAGGGGTCTCTCTTCTTCCGGAAGGCTGTTCTGTAGAAAGAAATATCGCTCTATAAGATTACATAACTTTCATTGTTTTGATTTCGTCTACTGAATTTTCATTTCATTAAAGGATATAGTTTTTCATTCTTTGTAACATCTAAGGGTTTGCATGATCCCTATAGCTATTTAAATTAAATTATTCAGAAACTACTACAATAATTATTGCGACCTTATAATTTTCTTACTCAAGAGATTTTTATTTATTTTTTAATGTGAAGGATGATTATTTACATTTGAAACATGTACCATAAAATTCTTTATTTAAAAAAAGCGCAAATGTTCCATACCGAATTAGTTATGTTTATGATAATATATAATTATCTGATAATGTATAGTTAAGATATAGAAATTTAGTATACTAGTTAAAAAATAATAATCGAAGAAAGTGAGATTAATCGAGGCCGACGTAATCTAGAACACGTGATTAAGGTCTCAGTTGAAAAATGGTAAGTAGTACAGGACAGTCGTTTATGCCAAAGCTATACATTATGAGTTCATAATTATATTTGTCGACTGCATATATCCCCCCCTTTTTTGGCTGACTTGTACTAAGAAAATTTTCGACTTGTACGTAGAACCTAAAAGAAAGAGTCAGTTAGGTTTGAAAGCTGCATTTACAGTAAAGGCGAAAGAATCAAAATGCGAAATGTGTCTTAAAGCATGATGTGTAATATCCCCCTACGAGGTATCATTAACTGTTTTCTTGAAGTTAAAGGTCACAAAACTACTGACTTTTCAGCTAAGTTACTTCATTTTTGGTTGATAGCATTAATACAAGTAATCCGTTTAAATTCCTCTGGAGCTAGTTCAGACCTCTAATGAGGTTTAAGTTAACGCATAAGCGACTTTTCAGGATAAAGCCAGAAAATGTTAGTTGTATTTGGTAGGCTTTTGCGCATAAGGCTGTTAATTTTTTCTGTAGGATTAGATATTAATGCATTAGACTCTAAGATTCATCATATCGAATATTTTTCCTTGCTTATCATGCTTTCATATCTACATTTTTTGTCTGACTGATCCCTCTACAGACGATACACCTGGTCACCCAGACAAAGGACATAAGCTTTCGAAATTAGGGGTTGTGCTCGCCCGACTGATGCACAGACCGCTTGTTTCTTCCTTTCTGAGAGGAAGGCGGAGACCTCGCTGATTACGGAGCAGTCGTCATCCACCATCATCACACTGGACCGTTGTGTGACATTATGACCTTAGATTACCTTCAGTCTTTCTCGTTCGGCAGTCACAGTTCGTCAGCGACCCCTTGACCCTCTCCTGACACAAAAGAGCAGAAGCCGGTATCTTTCGCAACCGTCTACTTACCATCGTGGCTTCGCGAAAAGATGTTGCCTTTTGTGACCCTGCGTAAATGTTGTTTAATAGAAATTTGGGAAATGACCTCGTCTCGGAAGGACTGTTTTCTGTGTTAATTCTCCGTAGATGCCTCAAAGCATTAAATGGTTTTTATAAACCTTATCTACATGTAGCTATCATTAGAGTCAGTTCTGTTATACATAGTATATACACATTCGAATATTTATGCATCTGCTTTAGAACAGCTCAAAATGCCATTTTATTAGATTAGCCATACTGGACACTGATGTTAAAGGCTAAAGCACTGAACTCGCAGCCAGGTTCCGAGCGTGAGCCATAAATTGCTTTCTGTGAAGATGCCTACGTGTTTTTATTTCCCCTGCAAGCAGCTGACTTCCCAATACATACATACAAAATATCCGTAATAATATTTACGCACATAAAATCATTTGAAATTGATCAAATGCCTGCTTGAATATCTCTAAAATGGGCTAAAATAACACTTAAGATTTTTTGCTTCAATGGCTATCATGTAATCTGAGAAAAAAAAACATAAAATGGTGACAGTTTGAAGCATAAACTGTGTATATAGGTTATGTAGTTAACTAAATAGCAGTATAGGACCATATTTCCCCCCTTTTTTAAATAAAAAAAAAGTTTAGGCTTCTGTAACTTTGCACTTAAATGTTTCACATGCCGAGAATTTTGGGATTCATTTCCCGGTAGAAATAAAGCTTCATAATTTATGAATTATGCATTTTAAGCTCGTTTACTATATTATTTCTCTATTAAAATTTTCCGAAACGTTTTTCTTCTCCCTTTGTATTTCTGTTTTAACGGCAATATGGATATTTGACAAAATTATTTCTCAGAAATAAGTAAAATTTCAAATTTGCTTGAGAATTATTATTAAAGCACAAAATTTTTTATACTCTAATTAGTTCTCAATTTTTTAGGAAAATTTTTTTTACGGCCACTGTCAACTATTTTAGAAATTGTATTATTTTTTAGCAGTAAACCAAAACTATTTTTCTTGCTTTGCAATTCCGTGATTTATAACGCAATTTCTTAGTAAAAATTTTTTCCCTGAATTTCTTTGTTCTTCCCCAGGATGTTTAAGACATTTAAAACATTTTCTTTACAGCTTTGGACAAACTTGGCTTCCGCCACTTGTTCAACTGCCACCAAGTGGAGTTGGTTCAACCCAGCATAGCTTTCGATGTTGCGTCCCTCATGCTGTACGGGACCCAGGCTATTCCCGTTCGTCTGAAGATCTTACTGGATCGACTCTTCAGCGTTCTCCAGCACGAGGAAGTCTTGCAGGTCCTGCACGGTTTTGGCTGGACGTACGAAGACTATGCCAGGGGCTATATTATACAGGTTAGATTGTGTTCAGTATTATTAACACCGTTGCTACGAAAGGAAAATATACCATATTGAAAAGTCTGCATTAGACCAGATTATTTAGTTCTGAAAAAACATACTAAGGGCTGCCTGTCTAATCTTGTTTTGAATGTAGAACCTAACGAATAATTTTTGAACTGATATTTAACTTCGAAGACATAAAATCAGAGTAAAAATTTAATTATTTGCATCTATACAATCTTGCGTTAGCTGTAAGCGTTGTTTATATTTTTCAAATACTTTCTTTCCCTTAATTAAAAAAATATTCGGTTTTTCTTTTTCTTTTTTTTTTTCCTGTATACGTTGTGAAATTAACATGAACAAGAATTTAAAATTGTGTTAAAAGACTTTTAACCTCCCTAAATAGCTTGTTTATTTTCAGTATTGTAAGGATTAAGTATTGCACTTCAAACATTTGTGTCGTTATTCGTTTAATATGTTCAAATTTACTAATCAAAAGAGGTTAAAAGCTTTTAAAACACATCATGTGTAATACATTAAGTGTATAAAATCGATTTCTTAAAATGGAAGAGAAATGCGCCAATGAAAAATTTTAAATTAGGCAAAAATGCAGGCTAGTTTAAAATAAATTTGCATCTGTTGATTTTTGAACACAGGAAAAAGAAGGATATATGTCTTATAAGCTTAGAAATCGATAGAGATTTATTCAGTATCTACGCCATCCAAGGTGGCTTTCTTCTCTAAGTTTTAGTCCTTTTTCCTTTGCGCAATCATTTTTCTTTCCGGGACTTGATGAACATTTCCCGAAACCTTAGATTTTCCACTAATTTCCAGATATCACTGGAATAGTTGTACAAATTTAGAAAACCTACTGACTAAATTCGTGCATAGGGTAATGCATGAGGATGTGAGGATTTTTTTAATGAAACAATGGGATAGAAATATACAAGGAGGATTAAAAATACCAAAAAGACTTTTTTTAAATTTTTTATTTACTAAGACTTATGTCAAGTAAAAAAAAAAATACCCCAGGAAGAACATTTCTGTCATACTTAAAATAATCTTGCAAGTGAACGTTTCAGTTGTGTATAATATGCTGCAGTACCGCGTAAGTTTACAAAAAGCAAATTAAGTTTCTGGATATAACGATGTCAACTTTGGGCTTATACGCCCGCTGAAAGAAATCTTGGGCCGTTAGGTACGACGAAATGAACGGCTGGAAAATATTGTCTGAAGAGTATTATCACTAATCCTTGCCAAAAATTACATAGCACTACTCAGCTGAAGCCGAAGGTTGTCATCAATAATCTTTGGGTCGCCCAACCGGTATAGTGGTTAGCATCCGTGCCGAAGGCCCGGGTTCGAATCTAGGAGAAGGCTTCGATTTTTGTAAATGTATAGTATCCGTGTGGCATGGGGACACTCTAAATATGCGGGAAGCCGAAAGTCCGCTCGAGAGGTTGATGGTAGGGGAAGAAAGGTGAGAAACCACCGGACCCGTCACTCCCCCGGGGTGCTGCCCCTCAAAATTGGGGGGGAGCGGAACTGAGCTAAATCGCACTGTCATCTGTAGAGTGCTCAAGGCTGTTGCCAAAGACAGGCCTAAAACTTGCACTCCTTACCACGAGAAATTTCGTGGGCTTGGGCTGATTTATAGGTCAGAGCATTAGCAACAACAACAACTAATCTTTGGAGTTCTGGATGTTGCAGTTTTGCAGTACGTTATTTTTCATGTACTTCCCTAAACCTTTCATATGCAACTGACAAATTGCCTTAATTTTAATAAAACAGCCAGTTTTAGTGTAATGTAATTTTTAAGACAGGGACAGGTATCAATAAACTACAGTGAACCATTTTCCTGTTTTAAACAATGCTTGTATATTTCTCTCAATTCTCTCATTATCATGAAAACCATCTGATCCGGACCCGGCATTGTAAACTTAAACAATTTCTTGGTAGGTAGGTTACGGAGGACTGGAACGCCTGGTGTCTAACAGAGGTAAACAGGCATGTGTTCCAAGCCCTCCTCTAACTACGGCAAGAGCTTCCTGGAACCACACGAGGCTGCACCAGATTATTGAGGTTGTCAAAGGGAAGTACATGGCCTTACAAGGGCATTAGTAGGATTGTATTACAGATTGAAGAGGCAAGCTGTGGTGTTACAGATAGTAGGTAGTTAAACTAAAAATACTTGGATAATAAGACGTACGCATAAAAAAGACATAAAAATGCATAGGCAACAATACACAAAGCACAATGCGTAAAATGCATAAACAGAGAGCACAAAAAAAAAAAAAAAAAAAAAAAAAAAAAAAAAACAGGTACATACACATAGTCACTTAAGGCACAAAAAGATAAATGGAGTACATGAAGTCACATGAAAGCTGGAGCACAATGTTAGTGTAAGGCAGTTCTGTTGTATATAAATACAGGTACATCTTGAATGAAGAATGATGAGTTCATGAATACTCATGTGTGCAGAAGAGTGCGGTTAGATTGCTAAGGCGTTGATTATTGTAGCGTCGCTAAGAACATAGATAAAAACACTGATAGAAGGCACGAGGATGTTGTAGCACTAATTATTGGGCAGTGCCCCAGCAATGTGTGCACCGTGAGGCACACAAGCGTTCACTAACATTGCATAAGAAGATGCTTGTTCACATGCTGTTGAAGGGATTACACACGTATCATTATGGAGCCATAACACATTTCACTAAGGAGATGCCACATATTTGCGAATTAATTTCTTGGTAAGAGAGACTGAAATAGTGCATTCCCTTTTCACAACTAAATTAAATTTACTTGCAAAAAAATAAAAATAACCAAATGTTAAATTCCCCTCACAGTTCTCTCGTTTTTTTTACCCCAAAACGAAGCATTTTAATTTACATTTCTAACATCTGCTGTGAAGATAGATTTTTTTCCTCTGCTTTGCATATTTTCATAACTCATACAATTGTAACATCTTACGTAAATAAGTTTCTTACTCAAATAAGCAAAATGTAAGCAACTATCCTGTGTGTAACTATTCCTGTTCTAAGAGAAGTTGGTGTAATTATTTATAGTGAGTATACTTAGTGTTACAAATTGTGCTTATTTGTCATGAATAATTGCAATTTTTGTTTCAATTAAAGTACAAGCATCGGTCTTTCCTGAAATAAAGTTGGAAATTACGAAAAATTTGCATTTTTTTAAATTGCCGCTACTTTGACTGTTCTAAGTGTCATAGGTTTTCTAAATTTCTTATCATCTTCATCTAACTGCAATTAAGGCTGAAGAAAGATTAATTTTAATTGGATAATATTTAATTTTATCGGGTAATGTTATCTTAGATATTTAATTTTATTGGATAATGATATCTCAGAAAATCTAAGTGGGGATGATTCTTTCTTTGGTATAACGGCAATCAAGTGTTATTGTAGAATTCACATAATTTCCCCTTTTTTGATCATGGAAATAAAATGATAAAATTCATGTTTCATTTATCAGTTTTGCAAACTAATTTTATAGTTTTTCATTTACTTCAAAAATTCTTATTTCTGATATAATTTATTTATTTATTTAAAGCGACTCATACAGTAGCAAACGGGATTTGCATGAAGACTGCGTAACTTTTGTGCAAATTTTATCGATTTCCTTGAAATATAGCAGTTTCTTCATCAACTAAAGATTGTTTCCCTTTACTGCTTGAATTACTTAATTCTCCTCTTCAAGAAATTATTCAGTATGATTATATTAGAATTTAAGGAAATTTATTGGAACGCCAGAAAATTTTTTAGTTATCGAGAATAATATAACAAAAAAAAAAAAAAAAAAAAAAAAAACGCGAAATTCCTGGAAGGGAAGCTTAACCTCTAATTAGATAAATTTATGATTATGCCTATTGCAGCATATTAATTTTTACTTTTTTTGTACGAAGAAGGGAAATATTGTAATTGTGAAAAGTTTCGGGTACCATATTTCAACGGGAATATTCATTCCGGAATCCATTTGGAAACAATTTTTTTTCATGTCATCTGCACGTATGGACAGATAAAAGTAAACTTTTTCCAAAACGGATAGTAAAAGGGATTTAAATTTTAATCAGAAAGTATTCCTTCGTGACGCATATAGACGTATACATACGTATGTACGTATTTGAGATACATAAATACATACGCATGTGTATATGTAGCTCGGATAATTCGAAAACTATTAGAAGCAGAACGTTGAAATTTTCTATATGGGACCTATAACATCTAGTTGTGCCCCTCCCTTTTTATTGAAATCTACAGTACCAAACGTATACCCAACAAAATCTAACTTTTCATGGGATCTCCCAGTTTCTGTCCTTTTATTTGAGGAGAGTTTTATTCCCGTTATATAAAAATAAAATTATAAGAATTTTGAGTCTCTTATGACAAAAATTGACAGGGATATTTAATTTCAAAGTTTGCAATTTTTGATATCATTTTCAGCTTGCCTTGAGGAATTAGTTAATTAAGTTAGAATAATTTGAAGAAATAAGTTTAAATAAGGTGCAGGAATAAATTAATGAATTAATGAATTAATTAATTGAACAGCCGTGTAAGGAAGTCACGTGGTGCCCACATCAGATTTTTCCTATACAGTAGTCGAAATTAATAAAGTAGCCTTTTTCTGACTGTCAAGTTAAATTTCTTGCAAAAACCTCTTAAATAAAAGTATTGACAAACAAGCATCATATTCTTATACTAGTAGGTATACCTTTCTCCAAACTGATCGGTAGAATATCCACTTTAAGTGTACGCATCTCCAGACTATCGGTTCATGCATTTTAAACAGCGGGGTCATCACGGAATGCAGGAAATTCCACCGTCGTATTTCATGCAAATTTCCGTTGCCGTTGAAAGGCAAGCGTCAGAGTGCAGCTCTAACGACGGCTTCCATTTCAGGGGGGGGGATGTGCTTGGGGTCAATTAATTTTGATGGAGCGACGGGTTCTTAAATCGCGCGCGCCAGAGAGACAGAAGTGGGTTGACTCGCTCGGACTTGCG